GTACGCGGGTGTGTGTGTGTGTGTGTGTGTGTGTGTGTGTGTGTGTGTGTGTTTGTGGGAAGGGTCAATCTTCAACAGGAGAATCCGTGTGTATGCACATGGGGTGTATATCTGTAGAGGTACTTACTGAGGCTCCAGGCTCGCCGGGCTCACCAGGGGGGCCTTGGAAACCTTGGGGACCCTAGAGAACAAGAAGAGAGGAGTGGGGTTAGAAGGGCAGGTCCCTGCAACCTCTCCCCATCTCTCCAAAATAGCTTTGAGCAACTTCTCTTCCCTCATCCCAAAATATCAAAGCACCAGGGGCCATACACAACCCCCTAGATACTTACAGGTGCACCAGGAGGGCCAGGGAGACCACGAGGACCAGAGGGACCCTGTGGAGGGAAAAGAAAGGGGGCCGTGCTGAGACTTCTGCAGGAAGCACCATGTGGACATAGTCCTGCTGTCTTCCCCCCGGTTCCGAGGGGACCACCCAGTTGCCCTGCATCTTCTCTGGATCCTCAGGTCCCAAATGAGGACTTTGCCGCCCTAGCCATCTATGCTCGCATCCGTCAGCACTGGTCCCCCGCCAGATCCCTGTCCTGTGGCTGTTTCTGTCATCTCTGCTCCCCCTGGTGGCTCACCATGGGACCAGGCACGGAAATTCCTCCACCTGATTTCTCGTCATAGCCATAAGACATCTGGGAAGCAAAGTTCTAGAAAAAAACAAGAGAGAGAGTACATGAGAAACCAGGGTCAGGACAATGAATTAAAAGACAAAAATGAAAAACCACCAAGAATGGGACAAAGCAACATGAAGTGCTTCCTGACGTCATATACTAAGAAGGAAAACTGGAGCTATTCCTGCCCAGAATGCAGCTCCTGAATCGCATCTGAGCTGTTTTGATCTACGAAACAACTGGATTCTTCAAAAACATTCAGGGTTGTAAAAAACAATGACATTCCGAGGGAAGTTCCCCACTTATGGAAACGAAAGAGGCACCACAATGAAATGCCATGCATGTCCCCGGGTTGGATTCTGGATGGGGACAGGTGCTGTATTGAGACTTGGTGAAATTCGAATCCGGGCTGCCTGTGAGATAGAGTGGTAGATCAACACTACGCTTTCTACGTTTCATCTCTCTGCGATGGCCTTATAAGAGAATGCACTTGTCTTAGGAAGGACACTTCTTGGGAGCAAAGGGGCATAATATCGGCAACTTTCAAATGGCTCAGAAAAAATAAATGTGGCTGACAAAGCAAATGTGATAGGCCTTGAGGAGGACAGGGCGGTTCTTTGCAGCTTTTCTCCATGTTTGCAATGATTTCCAAATACAAAGTTAAATCATTCGCCGAAAAGCAAAAGCAAAATGAAGAAGGAACACATAAGGCCTTCCATGGGTGTCTCCACTCTCCACTTACTCCTCCGAGGCCAGGGGGTCCGGGAGGTCCAGGGGGGCCAGGGGGTCCTGGAAGTCCAGGCTCTCCAGGGATGCCATCTCGGCCAGGGGGGCCTGCGGGTCCCTGCAGGGGGAGAGGGCGGGGCCGAGTGAGCGCCTGCGAGGAGCCACGCCCACC